GGGAATTGATTGGGGATATTTTGGAAAGCACTTTTATCGTTTGGGAAAGAGCTGTTGATTTTTAATTAATTAATTTTGATTGTGTTTCTATTTAGCAAACATTTATTTAAAAAAAAATAATTATATCAACTTATTCCAAATCGTTTGGGGAACTCAGATCTACCTTCCTTTTCATTTGGGAAAGGCAAGAAAAGGGTAATTCGATTGTTTATTGAGTTGGAGTAATCATTTGGAAATGGCGTTCATAGCACGTCTTCAAAATTGTCTACTACTAACCCAATCGTCTGAACTTCCTCTCATTTTTGGAATAGGAAAAAAATCGGATTCAAGCTAATTGGGCAAATTGCCTACTGGCTTAAGTGATCAGGTTAAGCAGTGTGAATTTCTCGTCGCCTCCCTCTTCTTGGCTTCACTGGTCTCTTTTAGACTGACAAAATGGACATGAGTTAAAAGTACCTGTGATTTCTGAAAATCAAATATCTTTAATAATATAGATTTTGTTACTGATTGTATGTATATGCAGCACTCAGTAACTGGATCATTGCTGTAGCGTAGAAAAAAATCCAAATATGGATATTCGCTACCAAGTTGTAGAGGTTAGCTGTCAGCGATGAACTTCCAAAACATCTTCAAGCAACGACTCCACAATTATACAGATGAAAATCCAATCCTTTACCAACTCCCCTCCTCCTCCCCCAATCTGATATATCAAAGAATCGAGAATCATTCGAGTTTCCATCATTGGAATGCAAGTACCACAACAATGAATCGCTAGGCAAGAAAAACATGGAGAAGCACTTGAAAAGTGACCAGGAGATAGACTACGACTGTCAAGAGTGACTTTTGCACAGATCCCGGATACGTGTTCAGCCTCTACGCATGATATAAATCAGCTCCAGTCTCCCCCAGTTCACGAGTGATAAAATCCAAGGCAAAACCTAGTGAGAACACAGGATAAATATTGAGATTCCAGCTAAGGAGCGGCATCACTCCTAGAACCAAAAGTCAAATGGGAGTTATCTGGATCTTGCCCCAACCCCTCCTAGGAATAAATATCAAGTCAAAAGTTATCTTAACACAATGCATCGAAGAGTTGAGGAGACTTCAGTTTCCAATGATGCGATTCGTGCTGAAGATATCAGGACAGAGGTTTATTCATGCAATAATGCATGAGACACCAGTATCGTCAGCTTCTATGATTTTCGTCGAGGATTGATGTACTGGAGGTTCTCAAGAGGTGTGTCTCATAATATACTGTCTGTAATTGAAGAGGAGTCCAACATTCAGGAATAGATGGAAAAAGGAGAAATCAAAATATACAGTTTAATTGGGCAAATATATTCAATTGTGTAAGTCTATCTATATACAAAAGATTGATATATATTCACGAGATTTTTCAATTAATAAAAATTGTTGTGATTGTTATTCAGGTAAACCCATTACAATATATCATAACTGAAAGCCTGACATGATGTTTATCTTCTGTGTTTTTTTTCTGCTTGTTTCAATCATCCCAGGAAATTTAGACAAAATCAGAAATCATTAAACAATTGAAATTATTTTTTTATTCTGTTATTTCCTTTTTTTCTTCGATAAAAAAACAGGGGAAAATTGAAGTAAAAGATATCATTAAATTAGACTCCTTTTTTTATTGTGCTTGATTGTTGTTATTATTTTCCTTCCCATTGATAGACATCGGAAAATGCAGTACAATTCAGAGAAAAGTATTTACAGACTCAATAGGGAAAAATTCCCAATGGATGCTGATTTGTACAATCACCACAGTCTATGATTCATGAGAGGGAAAAAAAAAACATGGAGAAAACAATCAATATTAATTTTTTATTATGTAGTGGTTAAGTGGTAGATTGTAACAGAACAGAAGCAGACGATTTTACACATATTGTTGGATGTTGAATAATTTCGATAATGAGAGCCTTTGTGAAAAAATGTCAGACGATATTCTCTGCTTAGAAATTCCTTCAGTTATAAACGGCTCTCTCAAAAATACTTTAGTATAATCCCATTGCATGATTATTCCTCGCAATTAGAAATAAAGTGTGCAAGCAAAAAATTTTTTTTCTCCATTTCATTAAGAAATTTATGAGATAAAAAGTGTCGAAATTCGAAAACAAACAGTTCACATCTCATTCCGCATCCACTCATCCTCCCCTACTTACTAGCTAGCTCTTACGAATTGGAAACGTTCACTCCATCATAAAAAGCCAATTCATGTTAGTCTTAATTTCTCAGAACAAATGCAGCCAATGGAAAAATATACAAATAACTGCTAACAGAGTATACTGAAGGCTAGATTGCAAATTATCCTCTTTTTATTTGTTTTTTTGCATGCAATTTCAATTTTCTGTTTGTCTTATTTTTGTAGCAAGATTCATCAGTCTTCACACGACTCCAAACTGTACACACAAGATAACTTTTCCTCGTACGTATCATCCAGCAATGTTGGACGAATCGATATACATATTTATAGTTACAACATTTACTGATAAACTTTCGCACTAAAAACAGAACTTTAGTTTCAAGATTGACCCACAGTCCCTTACAATAAAATGTTCATTCTTTCATAAAATTCGCCATTCCAAAATTGAAGCTTCAACATATATGACTGCAAGTGGTACTACAGCCGTCGATTTCCCAATAGGCGTAATTTTCGTCGCCGTATCATCACATTTCAGCCACGTACCTGTAGTGCGCAGACAGTAGGCAGTGAAATGTCCTGGTTGGTAACCAATTACTCCAGCAAGTCTGAAAATATAAATGTAAATTTTTTATTCACCTTAGATCGTCCTCTGAAAAGTAAATTCAGAGAACAATAATGGGCCAACTCACCTAAATTTTCTATCAAGATCCAACTCATGCGGGATATGGTCCAGTTCACAGCTCAGTCCTTTCTCTCTGCTCAATACCATCATTCCGTCTATCTCAATTCTTTCTCTAATGTCTAGATCGATAAAAATGTGTTTGTTACATTGAGTTGTTTCCAGAACAGATCCTGTACATCCCTTCGTCGTGCATCGACGATTGTTGTTGGATTGACAAAATTGCACAGCTTTCCTCAGGGACTTGAATCCTTCTTTCCCTCGAATCGGTGTCTCATCTATAGTTAGATAGGTGATTTCTCTCCTCTCGGGTGGACATAGAGGATTACTGCAGGATCTTGTTCGAACTGCGGCGGATTCCAAACGCAATAAATTACTCCAAATGTTAGTGATAGAATCTTTAGCATTGAGATAATATCCAGAGAGGATGGTGGCATCAGCATCTCTTTCAATAGGATGAAAATTCCCTAGAATTTGTAATCGGCCTGAAGAAATGTCTTGTGTGGCACCGCCGTCTTTAAATTTCTTTAAAAATTTGAGAGTATTCACCTCTGAACTCTCAACAAATGATAAATACGAATCAGTATCCAAAGCTGCAAATTGTAAGGTGTGGATAACACTGTCAAATCCGCAGGTATTTTTAACTTTCACTTTGATTCCATTCACTGGAATGGGTGATAGATAAGACCCATTTTTCAATAGAAAACCTCTTTTACGAGTTACGCCCCTGCGATTCAAGACTTTGATTTCAGGAAAACGTTGGAAATAGTACCCTTTAGCGGCGACGCACCTATTGGTTCCAATTTTGGCTTTGAATTGTGCCAACACAGATTCACCATTATTGCTTTGTATCTCAGTTGTTCGGTGCAGAGACCGATATTTTGTTTCGCATGGAACTGGGGAAAAATTCATTTTCTCATGTTGTAAAGAGCGTGAGCCTGTTCCGACTTGTCTGTCCCTTTTTTTTTGTTTTACTATCGAACAGGCCCCCCTAAAACTCAAACGGCGGATTTAAAACTCCGTTTTATTGCGGTCGAGTCGTAAATTTAGGGTTGGAAGAAAGTCGGAAGGATGTCCACCTCAGGCCCAACATGTGCAAGCCAAATGTCCACTCTGGGAAATCCTGGCATCCCTTATTTTTCCCCAGTAGCAAAAAAAAGGGTATGCCAGATTTCGGAAAAACCTCTGGACGGTCCCAACGGTTTCAGAGAGATGCCCTCCCACTTTCTTCAACCAATTACATTTAAGCTAGCAAATATCACCTAGCCAATAAGATTTCGCATATCCCTTCCTAAATAACTAGAGAACTTTACATTTTCTCTCAGATTTTAAGTTTAGTAACCTTCAAGACGAGGGCCAGTGAAGACACTCTTCTCACTGAGCCTCTCACGTTTATCCAAGTATCTTCAAATTTAGTCAACAGTTTTTTTCTAAAATTCTGAAGTGCAATAATCATTCAAAAAACTCCAAAGTGCAATTTCATTTCTACTATTTAAGTCTCAAGAACAATATTCATTAATTTTCAATAGACAATGTCAACTCTGTGAAATTCTCTCTTGTAAAAACATTGGTGTCATCATTGAACTTCTTTTTGTGTAATTAAAATTAAGGTGTTTTAGTGAAAGTGTTCTTTTTCATTTGAAACGCCCTGAACTTTGATTTTCTCTCAACATACATTGAGACGGTTTACGTGCCCATCTCAATCGTTGGATACTCATTGGCGAGCTGCACTTCTGGCATTCCTGGCATTTACGACCCCAAGGGATCGGTCCTCGTAATTTTCAATTTTCCGAGTCAACCGCGTTAATGTTATACAACATAAAAATGGTCCTTCGAGCCGGATATTCGTGTATAATAAACAGTCATAATGAAGTGTTACTCAGTGAAATTAATAAAATCAATAAGTTGATAAAATTTCATCAATAAAATAAAAGAAAACTTCACAAGTGTAAGAGTGTGCTAAGACTTTAGACTCTAGTGCATTCAATCTCGTGGAATACGCCGGTGGTCAACAGGAGCTGGACAGATCAAGGATTTCACTTGCCTCCACCTACCTGCAGAGTCAACCCCCAGGCATTCACCAACAAGGTAAGCTCGTTCATTCAAGCAAGTCGCCTTCCCAATTCCCGTGATCTCCCTATCGCCAAACTCTCAATCACAATGGCACCAACAACTACACCAGAAGAACTAGCTGCTGGGCGGAAGGCGTTAATCAATCAACGTGGGATGTTAAAAGGAAGAATGACTAAATTCTACAAGTATTTGGTAGATTCAAATGTTTACGCATCGATTCCATACGTCGACAAGAACTTCAACATAATCCAATGTGAATTGGAAAACATGCCAGCAATTCTGCGTGAGTTACAAACCCTAGAACCCAACGTCGATCACGCTGACATTCATGAAGAGATAGATGACCAGTTTGAAGCGATTCGAGTCCTTGTGGAGAAATTTAAGTCGCCAGGACGCACTGCACATCCTGACGCAATACCAGAGAACAGACACCTCAGAGACCACAGGTCGCCGTCAGTCACGTCACGTTCATGTTCGTTTGATTTTTTAAAGACGATACCAAAACTCGAGGCCAAGAAGTTCGATGGAAAATTATCCAATTGGAGAGGTTATAGAGACTGGTTTTTGGTTACGATACACAGAAATGATAATCTCTCTGATTCTCAACGGTTAGATTATCTAAATCGGACCTGTGAAGGTGAGGCTGCCGATACTATTAAGGCATTCGCAATCACTGATGAAAATTACGCTGTTGCTTGGTCCCTACTAGAGAATACCTATGATATTCAGTATGCTTTAGTTCTAAATCATTATGATCAACTGATGGAGACTCCAGTCATGAAGAGAAATACACCTGAGGAGATGAAAAAATTAACCAACAGCATTCAAAGCCAGGTCCTAGCATTAAAGGCTCTGGGAGAGAACGTAGAACAATGGAACACCCCATTAGTACACATCATCTTGAGACGATTAGACAAGGAGACCAGCAGGGAGTGGAATAGAAAAATGCAAGGGAGAGAGATGCCCAAATATGAGGCTCTCTTGACATTTTTGAGAGAAGAAGCCACCAGGACAATTTCTGTTAATCCTCTCAGTGCCTCTTCCACATCCCCCAGCTCATCAATGAATGTAAAACCCAAACACGCTAGAGACAATAAAAATCGTACCCAAACTCTATTAACGAACGCTACTAGCAACAGTTGCCCTCATTGCAAGGGTCAACACACTTTCGCTACCTGCGAGAAGGTACTCGCTCTCCCCCCTCTGGACAGGATTCAGGCCGCCCGTACTGCCCAACTGTGTCTTAACTGTTTCCAGAAGAGTCATAAAACTAGGGTGTGCAAGGCGTCTACCTGCTCCACGTGCCAGAAAAAACATCACAATATTCTACATTTAAATGAAGAGGAAACAAAAATGATGAGAGCTGCACATCAATCAAAAACTATCGCCATGGTGGCCACTTTGCCATCTCGAGAATGCATAATTACTGCTGTGGTGAATATCATGGACTCTCAACAGAAGCCGATCCAATGTCGAGCTATTTTAGATACTGCTGCTGGCTCAAACTTTATGACAGAAGCACTAGCCAATAAATTGAGGCTCTCACGCGAAAAACTCGCAATGAGAATCGAAGGATTGAACGACGCGACTACCGCAGCAAACTCTCTCGTGAGCACCACAATTCAATCAAGATTCACCTCTTTTACCAAATCCTTGAATTTCCTGACAGTAAAGAATATTGGAGGATTGTTTCCAATGGAACCAGTGGACAGGACTAATTTGCAAATCCCTCGAAACATTAGGTTGGCCGATCCACTATTTGATCGTCCAGCTCCAGTCGACATTTTGATAAGCGTTGGAACTACTTTATCCATGCTTTGTCAAGGCCAGATACGATTGAATGATCCAAAAGATCCAGATGTAATACTTCAACAAACCCAATTAGGATGGATTCTAGGTGGAAATCCACTGGACAAACCATCACACAATAAATCTCCTGCAGTACAGTGCAACCTTCTTGCAGAGTCTCAATTTGATGTTCAAAAATTCTGGGAAATGGAAGAAATTCCCAGTGAACGCCACTTGTCCAAAGAAGAGCAACTCTGTGAAGCACATTTTCAAGAAAATATCACTCGTGACAGCACTGGAAGATACGTTGTTGCCTTGCCTTTCAATGAGAAAAGAGCAGCTTTATGCAACACTAAATCAATTGCGGAATCACGGTTGAGAAGCCTGCAGAGAAAATTCGGAAGAAACCCCGAGTTGGGACAGCAATATAAAGCGGTCCTGCAAGAGTACATCGACCTAGGACACCTGTCCGAAGTTGAGGACGACCCAAAGGCTCGAGACGGTTTCTACCTGCCACGCCACGCGGTCATCAAGACTGCAAGCCTGACTACTAAGGTACGAGTCGTTTTCAATGGATCTGCAAAGACAAGTGAGACCGCTGTCTCACTGAATGACTCACTTATGGTTGGTCCAAAGATCCAAGATGACATTTTTTCACTCTTACTTCGATTTCGCTCACACCAATTTGTGTTAACTGCCGATATTGAAAAAATGTATCGTCAATTCTGGGTGAGGGAAGAAGATCAAAAATTTCAACAGATATTATGGTTCAATTCAGACAATCAAATCAAAACGTTCCAGTTGAACACAGTTACATTCGGACTTGCATCTGCCCCTTATTTAGCGATACGTTGTCTATCTCAACTGGCAGAGGATGAAGGCAAGGATTATCCCGAAGCAGCTCTTCGCATCAAGAGAGATCTTTATGTTGACGATCTTCTCACTGGAGCTGATTCATTAGAAGAAGCCTTAAAATTACGTGATGATATTACGACTGTCTTAAAGAGAGGTGGCTTGAATATACGACAATGGGCGTCTAATCACCCTCAATTACTCGAAAATCTACCTGAAGGCAGCGTGAACCTGCAGTTGGAACCTGACAAGGATGCCACTATTAAGGCCCTAGGGGTACACTGGGACTCTCAGCAGGACACCATTGTATATACAGTGAAACCAGTCATGAAGACGGTTAAACTCACCAAAAGGAGTATTTTATCAGATCTAGCAAAAATTTTCGATCCACTTGGCCTCCTGGGTCCAATTATCATCAGAGGAAAAATAATTATGCAAAATTTATGGAAGGAACGGATTGATTGGGATGATCCTGTGCCATTAAGTATTCAAACAGAATGGAAATCATATACTGATGAATTAATGCAACTGAAAGATGAATCTTTTGATCGTAAAATAATTATTTCCAATGCAAAAGAAATTCAGTTACATGGGTTTTGCGATGCAAGCGAAAAGGCGTACGGTGCTTGCATTTATCTCAAAACCATTGATGATCAAGGGAATTCCCAGACAAGCCTCCTCTGTGCTAAATCCAGAGTAGCTCCAATCAAACAAGTATCCTTACCTCGACTAGAACTTTGTTCAGCTCTGTTACTCGTCGATTTGTATGAAGCTGTGAAGAAATCTCTCAGTCACGAGATTTCTCGTACGACCTTCTGGTCTGATTCAATGATCGCATTACATTGGATCAACACTGAACCACACAAATTGTTAGTTTTTGTGGCAAATCGAGTCTCAGGAATACAGCAAAAAGCAAAGGAAGCTGAATGGCGACACGTCAGAACAGATCAAAATCCAGCAGATCATATCTCACGAGGACAGATGCCTCGCGAATTCAGCGAGAATCTCCAATGGAAACATGGACCACACTGGCTCAATGAAGAAGAATCTAAGTGGCCCCTTAGTGAGCTCAAAATCCCTGCTGAGATACCAGAGATGAGAAAGACTCAATGTCTGACAACGAAAATTTCAGTCAACAATGATTTGTTAACAAGATATTCATCACTGATCAAATTGAGAAGAATTGTGGCCCTGTGTTTGAGATTCAAAACAAAATTGCGAGGTCCATTGACTGCTGAAGAGTTAGACAATGCTAACAATCAAATTATCAAGGCAATCCAAGCTGAAGAATTTTCTGATGAAATCAAGGAACTCAAAAAAAATTCTTCCCTTGGTAAAAAACACAAGCTCAAACATTTGAGTGTCTTTCTTGATGAAGAAGGACTATTACGAGTTGGTGGTCGATTGAAAAATGCTCCAATCCCTTATGCACAGAAGCATCCCCTTCTATTACCGAAAGGACACTTCTTCTCCGATTTGCTCATCAGGATGGAACATTTAATTAATTACCATTCAGGAGCTCAAACCACTCTGTATTCTCTTCGCAGGAGGTATTGGTTAATTGATGGTCGAAGACAAGTGAGGAAAATAATATTAAATTGTACTAAATGCATTCGTCAGAAGCCTCCAACCAACAATTATCTCATGGGAGATTTACCAAAGTCCAGAGTCACCCAGACTAGACCATTTCTAAATGTCGGAATTGATTATTGTGGTCCTTTTTTTCTGAAAGAGAAAAAACACAGAAATAAGACACAGGTCAAAGCCTGGGTTGCTGTATTTGTGTGCATGGCGGTCAAGGCTGTGCATTTGGAGGTGGTCAGTGACCTCACCACTGAAGGTTTTATGGCAGCGTTCAAACGATTTATTGCTAGAAGAGGCAAACCCCGTCATATTTACTCTGACAACGGAACAAATTTTATTGGAGCGAATAATGACATCAAGGAATTATATTCACTACTGCGATCAAAAGAGCACAACGAGAAAATTCACGGAAATCTCGCTGATCAAGGAATAAATTGGCATTTTATTCCCCCACTCACTCCTCACTTCGGAGGACTCTGGGAAGCAGGCGTCAGATGTTTCAAACACCATTTGAAGAGGATTTCGGACGATTTGCTGACTTTTGAGGAATTCAACACCCTTGTGATTGAGATCGAGGCAATTCTTAATTCCCGTCCTTTAACTCCTCTATCCACTGATCCCAACGATATGCTTGTTCTCACTCCCGGTCACTTCCTTATTGGCGACTCATTGACTAGCTTACCAGAACCAGATAGGGGCATCACTCCCTCCAATCGATTGTCCCGTTGGGAACTTATTCAAAAGAAACAGCAAGAATTTTGGAAAAGGTGGTACAAAGAGTACCTCAACGAGCAGATTACCAGAACGAAGTGGACATCAGGAGAACATCCCATCAAAGAAGATTCTATTGTTCTTCTGAAGGAGGACAATCTACCTCCTCGCCAATGGGCAATTGGAAGGGTCATTCAGGTTTTCCCAGGCAGTGATGGAATCATTCGCTCTGTCAAGGTCAAAACGATCAAGGGAATTTTCGAGCGCAGTGTGCGCAAATTGGCCCCTCTAGTTCATGGAATGATTGAAAGTGACAAAAAAGATTAAAGACTGCATTAATGGACATTAAGAATTGTTGGTGAAATAGAATTTAGCGAATCAAGTGTATTGAACGCATATAATTAAGAGACAATATTTCATAAGCTTAAGAATTCAGAATTTATTTTAGTTGATCGTTTTCTCAAAAAAAAAACTCTCAACCCCCCCAGTGTGTTCGGTGCAGAGACCGATATTTTGTTTCGCATGGAACTGGGGAAAAATTCATTTTCTCATGTTGTAAAGAGCGTGAGCCTGTTCCGACTTGTCTGTCCCTTTTTTTTTGTTTTACTATCGAACAGGCCCCCCTAAAACTCAAACGGCGGATTTAAAACTCCGTTTTATTGCGGTCGAGTCGTAAATTTAGGGTTGGAAGAAAGTCGGAAGGATGTCCACCTCAGGCCCAACATGTGCAAGCCAAATGTCCACTCTGGGAAATCCTGGCATCCCTTATTTTTCCCCAGTAGCAAAAAAAAGGGTATGCCAGATTTCGGAAAAACCTCTGGACGGTCCCAACGGTTTCAGAGAGATGCCCTCCCACTTTCTTCAACCAATTACATTTAAGCTAGCAAATATCACCTAGCCAATAAGATTTCGCATATCCCTTCCTAAATAACTAGAGAACTTTACATTTTCTCTCAGATTTTAAGTTTAGTAACCTTCAAGACGAGGGCCAGTGAAGACACTCTTCTCACTGAGCCTCTCACGTTTATCCAAGTATCTTCAAATTTAGTCAACAGTTTTTTTCTAAAATTCTGAAGTGCAATAATCATTCAAAAAACTCCAAAGTGCAATTTCATTTCTACTATTTAAGTCTCAAGAACAATATTCATTAATTTTCAATAGACAATGTCAACTCTGTGAAATTCTCTCTTGTAAAAACATTGGTGTCATCATTGAACTTCTTTTTGTGTAATTAAAATTAAGGTGTTTTAGTGAAAGTGTTCTTTTTCATTTGAAACGCCCTGAACTTTGATTTTCTCTCAACATACATTGAGACGGTTTACGTGCCCAACTCAATCGTTGGATACTCATTGGCGAGCTGCACTTCTGGCATTCCTGGCATTTACGACCCCAAGGGATCGGTCCTCGTAATTTTCAATTTTCCGAGTCAACCGCGTTAATGTTATACAACATCAGTTATCTTCTCTTTCTGCACTGGCTTGCGAACCTCATTTCCACGTGAATTGTTCTCTGGTCTAGCTGGGGTTTCATATGAAACTGATGATTCCTTGGCGTCATTGATGTCTCGTTCGAGTACGTGACAATAAGAATGATCTGAGATGGGCGTACTGTTCAATCGAGACTCTGCAAGACACAATGAAAGATTCACATAGCCAAAATCCGATAATCGATTTTTTCCATCCAAGATTAGAGAATCATTATTCAAAGCATTCTCCGAATTCTCTCTCATCACATTTTCATTGTGGTGAATGTCAGTAGAGATGGATGGACTCATCATCGGTGGAGATTCTCCATTCGATCTTGCAGGACAATGTGAACGAAGTAGAGACATTTTAGCGTCATCATCCTCAGAACTTGTATCATCTATAACGATTTGCTTATTCTTCAATCCTCCCCATTGCTCAGAGGATTTCAAATCCGAATCATCAAAAATATAGACTCTTTGAGATGGTATGTCCGATAGAGATTCATCTTTAACCTCGAATATCGAAGAGGATTTCGTTTCTGGCGAGTTGCGTGACTCTTGTGGAATCGATGATGGCTCTTGTTTCTGCTTTGCTTTTTTGAATTGAGATTTTATTCTTCTCTGATGGACGTTTGGTCTAGTAGATGATGAGGGTGGTGATGAGGCTGGTCGCTTCTGCCTGCTGGGGAGATTGGAGGGATGGGAATTCGCTGGTGGAATATTTTGTGTCTCGGTTTTGTCAAATGATGAGTCGAGTTGTTGATTCCGGTGAACGAAGTGCGTCAACTTGTTGGCCATTTCTGTGTTGCCAGTCTGGAGGCTGTCGATGTGCGTTTTTAGGAACAAATTTGCTGCACAAGGCATTTTGATATTTTTAAAAATATGGCTTCGCATATATGCAAAATACCCCTCTTGATAGGTAGTAGACACAAGTCCCCCTCGAGCAGGAATGGCAGCCGCAGACCGCAGAGGAAATTCCTTGGCGATCCTCTCGAGCTGGACGATGAAATCAGTCAAATAGAAAGCATTTACTGATTTTCCTCTCATTGCGACAGAATCAGCAGGTTTTGCTACATCAATCAAACTTTTAATCCATCGATGAGTTAAAGTGCCGCTCTCACCTTCAGTGAACTCTTTCTCCTCATTCTTCTCAGGGTTCTCTTCGAAAAGCGTTCTAGACAGTTCCAACACTTCAATTTCATGACTGCGGGTGCTTATCAACTCTTCCAGCTCCTCTCTTGCCCCTTCTACCGTAATTTCTCCATCTGATGTATTCACGATGTAAACGAGTAAGAATATATGTTCAAACTCAGGAACGTTCTGAGCATCAATTAATAGAGCAAGACACCTCATGAAAAAACCCTTCACGAACGGATGACAATCCTTCAAGCATCTCCACTTTGCCACAAATGCCATGACGTGAGCCACATCAACTAAAATAAGAGTAGGTGCTGGTCGTGGTCTTTTTTTCTTTTGCTCATCCGGTGAAGAAGCCCACAAGAAACATTCGTCGACATAGGTTTTTAAACTCATATTATTAAAAGCTAAAGCAGCAGAAAAAAGGATTGCTCTCTCGTAATCGGAGATGCATTCACTGGGGGCTGGAGCCGTCAATCTCCTCCAAAATTTCATCCAGTCCTCAATAAATTCCTGTGTGTGTATGGTCGACAACATCTGGTTAACACAAATAGTTTTCTTTTCAAAGTTTATTGTCATGGTGTAGAGAAAAATATGCCCAGTTAGTTTTTTCTCTGAAATTGGGAATCTCGTCACAAACTTTCCGGATGCATCGATTGAAATTTGTGATGATCCTCTTTTCACACGACAATACTCCTTGAAAACGTGAATTTGGTCTGGTGTACTGTACCAAATAGCAAAAACTAGGGCATCTAAGCGATGTAGACACTGTGAATAGCGGGGATCGGTAGCCAATTTTCGAATTGATTCAATTACATCAACTTTTTCCCTACGCCCTATTCCAAGCTCATCCTTCATGTTTTCCATTTTTGCTTGTCTGTATACATGATTCTCACGAATGAAGGGTGGTATTCTCTCCCCAAACGCGACATTTTCTTCCACTAATTTCTCTCGATAGTTCCTAGCACACGTGTCTTTCAATTTTTTGCCAACTTCTTTCTGTGGTAACAATCTCGTGTATCACGAGTGTAAATGATCAGCGACAATCCATTTTCATCTGGTGGTTTCCCAGCGATACCAACCATTTCATTCCCACACTCCTCGTCTTTACAATATCCATAGAATTTCAAAAAATATCCCTCCCCATCAGCCTCTTGATTCACTCTAACATGATTATTCTTCCCCAGAAACGCACAAGGTAAATTATACCTTTTCAACAATTCTCCGGTAATTACTCCAGGCCATACATATTTCTTCATCCTCCTGCTCAAATTCGAAGAAGAATCATCTGGCTTTACTTTTTCCCATTGATGGGGAGGTAATAAAAGGTGAAATGTGGTAGCTGCAGTTGGAATGTTTTCCTTATCAGAGTCCTGCCAATCGCTTTCATCACTCGTCTTCACGAATAAGGATTCACAGCTAACCTCATCGTCGGAGATGAGTATCTTCTTTGTTGGTGGTGGAGTGGCAATATTTTGTCTCTGACGAGCTGCCATCAAATGATTTTTCTTATTGTCCCTAACGTGATTGTAAACTGTACGAGGTTTCCACCTCCCACCTAGATCTTCACTCATTTTTTTTCCATACTGGGTCTGATAATGGTGGAAAAAAGTTTGTAAAAAAACGATGGATGTTCTTCTCGATAATGGCAATCGCCTCATCTTCTGGGACTCTCGCTGTTTGGGGCATCGTCTCTTAACCTACAAAAAGCATGGATCACTTTATAAAAATATTCAAAACAAAGTATATTTATGTTGCGTGAAAAATGTGAAAAAATTTGGATATTAAAAAAAAAAATCCAGGTTGAGGCCTGGGTGGAGTGGCGATACTTGAGAAAACGTAGTTTTCTATTTACGAAGTCAAAAGTTGTTCAATTGTCAAAAACTCAGTATAGCGGCCAACAGACAATGCAGAACTATGTCGCTAAACTGAGTTTTGAACAATTGAACCACTTTTGACCTCGTAAAGAGAAAACTACGTTTGCTCAAATAACACCACTCCATCCGAGTCTTAATTCAGTGAATCCGACTAACTGAACTGCAGTATGACATTCTACCTGGATGATGTCTCTGTTTTGCGATAATTATCAATAACGATGTGAGATCGAGCAGAGTAACTTTTTCACGAAAAAAATAATAGAACATGTGGATTAATGAACTTCTAGAAAGGTCTTTTGTCTCAACTTGTGATTTTTTTAGAAAATGGCAACAGTGCAAACCCTGCGCCCGAATTAATGCGCGAATTTTGATTTTTATCTCCATGGACGTGTCCGAAGGAGAGACATTAATTTTTCAAGATTTTGTTTGCAACTCTTGTCTTTATTGGAATGAAAAACTTATGTCCATAATTTATTATGTCCAAAACAACACGAACAATTATTTGATCTTGGGTAAATCATCGATCTTAATCATCTAGATCGTAATACTCCCACATCGAATTTTATATTTAATTGAATCACAAGAAAATCTTTGCGCATTCGCTGAGGAATTCTATTGATAATTCAATTGAGTTTTTTTCCGATTTCTATTGACAGTTTCGCAGCTTTTCCACGTGTTTTTTTGCCAATTAAGAAATTGACTAGATAAAGATATAATTTAAAAAATTCAACAGACCTAACGTTTTCTACAAACCTTAGTCTTCTAGAACTGTTTCTATAGAAATTCTTCGGTACAAACTTTCTAAGTTTTTCAAAATCGAAGACAACAAACTTGGAAAATTCATGCCAAGGAATTTCTGTACAGAAAAAATTCCCAAGAATAAGTTTCATAGATGAATTAAAGTCTATTGGTTTTTTTTCTAGTAGATATTTTTCTATCACACTTTCCAATGGAAAAAAATCGCGGAGTGTTCAATAGAGATCGGTAAAAAAATCAATAAAATCTTCAATGGAATTCCCTAGCAAATGCGCTAGAATTTTGTCTAGGATTTGTTCATACGTAATTCTTCAACTTTCAACTGAATAATAATTTCAACGTTTGAGTTAATTCATCACAATGAGAAAATAAGGAGTGGAGGAATTCATGAAAATGCGGCAATGTATGAAGCTGGGCAAGAACAAATCTTCTTAAATCTTGAATATTTCTTCGAAACCGACGGAGAAAATTCGGAATAGTTTTGTTTGATTTTGATTTCACGGGGAGCAATTGTAAATAGTAGGAGAGATGGAGGTAGAATGAATTCCCTTTCATCATCACTAAACGGAGATTAGCAGAAAAAGATTCAACCAATTCTTTGCTATTTTCAAGCCAAATCGTATTATTTAGTTGACAGATATCGACTATTAAAAAGAGTTTATTTTGCATCTTCCGACGTCATGTCTACATTACCTGCCAAGGAAAATAAGCATGATGACATTTTCCCTCTGTCTCCATGACCATAGACGAAGTTTCAGAGGAATAAAGCAACAATTCCATGTCTTCCATGATTACTACAGTAGCCTCTCGTTCAGAATAATCATTTTCAAAGCGTAGCAAGCGCACTTTATCCAAATATTTATGGATGAGAGTGAATTTTTGTCCTGTTGAAATGATCCAACCTTGATGCTCTGAACCTCCTAAATATTTTTTGCTCAACCCAGGCTTTATCTCTTCTCTATTCCAAGGAAAACCTGTTCTCTGATCCGAAGTAGCGTTGAAAAGACTTCTTCCGTTGAAGAGACGTAAGAATATACTGAATTTGGCACCTGGAATAAAAAAAATTATAAAGATTTCATCTTTTAATTAATTAGGAAGATTTAGTTTCTGAAAGAAATTCAGGCTTCATTATGGAGAATGTCCATCGATGTCTCCCCCCAACTCTCACCTCTTACAATGCAAACTAATTAGACATGCTGAGTCCACCAAAGATCGAGAACGTCCACGAAACTCAAGGTTTTTTTCCTATGAGAATGCTGGAATTGTCCTAGTTGCTTAATTTCGCAATTTGCGGACCTCTTAGACATTTTCGCTCCTGATAGATGTACCGTACAGTAGAAAATCAATGAAGGAGTACCTACAGTAATCACATGACAAGACATAATCAGTTGATGACTATCAATCACGATAATAACTCCATCAGTTCAATGGACATACCATCCATAATGAGCCGCCGAGATCGAGGCTCAATTATTAGAATGGAGCCCACGAATTTGTCTTGCACTTGATCACCCTTATCACAACTCGCTAATTCAATTATAATTCAATGACCGATGTAACACCCGACATGACCTGTCACTTACTCCGAAATAGAACTTTTCAAGGTACTTGAAAAGACATACGTATGTACGTGCCATCGCGATCTCGAGGGCGATTCAGATAATCGCTCGACCGTGGCGGGGAGCGTGAGGGGGTATGTCGGCGGAAGGGGAGATGTTTTCGGAGCGGAGCGTTGTTTTGAGATGGTGAAGGCGAGATGGCGTTAGCCGTCAATTTTATAATGCAAGAGCAGAGGAGGTTAATTATTAACGAGATATAAAATTCGTAATAAGCAGTAGTTGAGATTCACTTGAGAATAATAAAATTGGTATTTGGGATTTTTCGAGTGATTTATTGTAATCTCCGCGAGATTTTGATGGCCTGGGACTAACTGAATTAGTTATGTGTTTTGTGCTACAAAGTGCTAATTAATCGTTGAATTGGATTGAAATTAAGAGGTAAGTTTGTTTTTTATTGAAAATATTCAATTTAACCACGTGTAGAATCTATTTTAATTATGTATTGTGTATCACAGTCGGATGGATGAACTCATTGCATCATTTTTGGAAAATGACATACTCCTTGAAACTCAACATCCAAGTATCCTCAAGCCTCAAGGGTTTAAAATGGAGATCTGATGTCTAACGACATTCAGGGTTCCTTCTTCAACATTATTAACTAGCCTGGGAGACGCAATCTACTGATCACGAGCTTGGGAGATACCGCAGTTTGACAACCAACGTACTTGCAGTTATTAGCGGAACTCCATGCCTTTGTATCGAGAAAATTACGCGGAATAATTGATAATTGATAATGAACGAAATTATTTGAATTTTACTCAATTAATTTTAATGAGGAATTACAAAATCGCGCGATTTTTTTTATTAGTCAACTTCATTTTGCAGAGATATGTAAATTTCATTTTTCCATGTTTTCTATTAATATTGATAAATTAATTTCCATTAATCTTGAAAATTAATTTAAATAATACAATAAAAGAATTCAACATTATGTATATGTCTCCTTATTATGAACGAAGTGTAGCAAATTTTTTCATTTTGATATATTTCTTTTTTATTGGAAGGGAGAGGGAGCAGGACAGAACCGAGTAACTCCTGGTGCTTGAGACGTAATTTCCTTAGTCTGGAGCTTCTGTTGCTTCTCAAATTTTTCAGTGGCAATAGCTTCTCTAACAATGAGACCCTGCTGCTTAGTTGATATTCTTCGGTTGACCTCCCAACTCTGACCCTTGGTACCTCCCCTTTGGCCCTGCATGGTGGTCATTGAACCCCAAGATTAGTGGCCGTGAACCTAAATCAACATGAAAAGCCGCGGGGAGGCCATAGAACGGCCATAGCGGCTTGCGTATGTTCCTGTGTTGAACCGCTCATACTTGCAATTGTTTCATCGCCTCCATTGCGATCTTCGTTTTTTCCATACATCGACTCCATCGAATCCAGTTGCGAGTATTTCATTATTTCCATCGGTTTTGTTAATAAAAGTGCAATGGATAATTTCAAAGTCGTCCTAGACACTGAAGGCAGGGTCTTGACCGACCACGATGAATCTGGACGAGAGATTTACTACTTGTACAATGGGGCTAGTAAGTTTGTCATACTCCTATGGAAGCACGCTGGAAATATCGATAGTAATCGAATTAATATGGCAATTGTTTTTAGATAAGACCATAGTACAGAGTCCTCGTTTCCTGAAACTCTGTCGAGAGATTCAGGAGGCCGAGACAGAGTGTGAAACTCCAAAACAGAATGATGGGACAAACGATCCTCAAACCTCTGGAGGGATGACTCAACTTGGGATCATTGTTATAACCAGCAGCAGTGACAGTGACAGTGATGAGTCAGGTAAGTTATTTCATTTAGATAGCTGTTGAAGAGTCCTTCAGAATCGAGGTGGTTTTATTTTCATGAGCTCTCTTGTTTCTGATTTTAGTTGACCTGAGGCGTGGGAAAATGATGAAGCGAGAGAACGAAGGAAGTGTTCAATTCGGGAATAAGGGAAAGAAACGTAGATGGATCGGTCCGGTGACTTCTCTAACATCTTTACCTTGTAACTCAGTTGCATGGAGTGCTCAACCCTCAACATCTTCAGCTCACCCCTCAAGATTACCAGCTCGTCCCCCAGCATCTAGGACAACTGCCTCAATCTCCAAAGTCAAACCAATCCACCCAGCATTAGACTCGTCAACCCCCAAGGCTGGAACAAATCACACACTGGAAAAAGTGAGTCGCCCACTGATACAGTCGCCTACTGGTACAGCCGCAACAGGTCTTCGGGCTAAAGAGAGTTCTGAAGCTCGTCAACCATCAACATCTGCAGCTAGTCCCTCAGTCGCATCGAGAGCTCAACCCTCAACATCTTCAGCTCACCCCTCAAGATTACCAGCTCGTCCCCCAGCATCTAGGACAATTGCCTCAATCCCCGAAGTCAGACCAATTCACCCAGCATTAGACTCGTCAACCCCCAAGGCTGGAGCAAGTCACACACGGGGTAAAGCGAGTCGTCCATTCAGCAGAGGTCGGGCTGGTGCAAGTCATGCTCAGGCTACAGCTGCAGCTAGGGCTGAACTAGGTCCTGTGGCTGAAGGAGTCCCTAGGGCTGATGAAGGTCCTGAAGCTCGTCAACCATCATTGATTGAACTCTACCGTGAGACAGTGGAGTTGCGCATTACTTTAGTACTCAACAGGAAGCGTGAGCGGCTGATCGAACTGATGAACTTGGTGTCGGATTATCTCGAATTCAAACGTCTTCAAGATCTCAAGCATGAATAAAAGTCAAGGCTTCCAATTTTCAATGGAAAATTTCAAAAATTGAAATTTTCATCTTCATTTCCCTCTTCGCATCCTTTACAAGTATCGTTATTCTATCAATTACCCCAATTGTTAAACGATCAAATTAGTTTTCCTTTTTTTCTACTTATACCATTCTTGTTAGAATAAAATTGTTTCTACTAATACCATTATTGTTAGAAGAAAATTAAGATTCAAACAAATAGATTATTAAGGTTATTATTAATGGTGAATCTATCGACTATTACTTGAAAAATAAAACATACTTAATTAATCCTTGAAACTTTATTTCCATCAATTCATTAGCATTACGATTATCGCCAGTACATCATTATCAATACAATATCATAACTCATTCTATTTTAATTTTATGTAATTTCGTAGTGAAATTTCCTTTATTATTTGATTTTTTTTCGAAAATATGCATCTTCAATTACGAAAATCCGTGGAATTTCAGTGCATTTACAAGGGGATAAAAAATCACAAGAAGTGTGGCAATTGATTTGATTTGATTCATACAGTATTCATTCGAAGTAATGAATTTTTTTTTCAATTGTTCTTCATTACAAATGTTGAAAAAGAAACGATTTACTTTGGCCGCAAAGAGAAATTGTAAGGGACGGTGGGGCAGAATGAAACACGAGGCAAAATGAAACAGTAGGAAAATCTAGTAATCTGAGGGAGATAAGACGATTTTCATAAAGACCTTTTTTGTAGAGAATTTTACAAGCTACAAAGAAGGTCTGTATGAAATCGTTCTATCTCCGTCAGATTACTAGATTTTCCTACTGTTTCATTTTGCCCCACGCTCCCCTAGTTCTATTTAATTAAAATCAACATGTTACTCTTTACCACTTCAGTAATGAATTGAAAAAATTTCGACTGTAATGGACGTTAAGATTCTATTTTCAGCCCATGAAAATTATCAATAATCATTGGAATTTGTGAGATGACTCTGAAATTCTTAAAATTACTCACTAAACGCCATTATGGTAATTTCTGTAGCAATGCGACGAGCGTGTCGTTGACCTGTTTGATTGAAGAAACAAGCTCCTCATGTCTCTGCCCCTCAACTCTGAATTTGTCTTTCTCAAAATCGAAAATTTGCATCTCCAGCTTTATTTTTTGTTCTCTGTATTTCACAGTAGCCTCTGACTCCTCTTTCTTAAATTCCATTTTATTTTCCAGCAGTTCCACAGCAGTTTTGGCTGGATCACAGGCAGTTGTCGTTTTAGTTTTAGTCTCATCGGATTTTTGTCCTGGAATTAAATTTTCGCAAGGTCAAATCAGAGGAGTCAAATTAATTTTGTGATTAAGACTTGAAGAATATAGACGTAATTTAGACAAAGAGAATAGGGACATTTCCCTAGCGGACGAGAGGTATGAAAATATCGATATTATCACCATTTTCGATTGATGAAAATCGAACAAAATTCATTGATGAGAAGTATGAGAAGAAAATACGCAGATACATGGACCATCACCTGCATCACCTGTGTCATTTGGCCATGTTTCTGTGACATCATTGTCGTAGTGCTCAGGAAAGTAATTGCCAATCTCCGCCTGTTGAAGAATTGTTACAATGAAATTAAATTAAAGAATTCATATACAAATCCGGAGACTGGAGAACTTTTTAAAATGATTTATTCAGGCAGAAAATTAGAACGCTTGAAAATTAGAGTCACTACATTCAATGCCCTCATACGTATGAAAAAATTGAATAGAAAAATGAATAGAAATTCTATTATATTTTTATTAGAATTATATTTCTTTATTATACTTCTATAGAAAATATTTTATAGAAAAGTTGAAAGATTCTCATTTTTCTACGAATTCTTGGGCTTGCATTTTTCAAGATTTTTCCGCTGTATTTTCGTTTGTTTCTCATAACAAAAGCCATGAAAAAAAATTAATGCCTAAGAATTCTTTTATATAAAAAAATTGATTGAGTTTTCTATAAAATATCTTCTATAGAAATGACGCAAAAAACAAACAGGATTTATAAAAACAGATATCAAAACAGAATTTTAAAAAAATATAGAATTGAATGTAGTGAGTTGCTCTAATTTTTAAGGGCTCTAATTTTCTCTCTTTAAGTCATCGTAGAAAGTTATCTGAACTGTCCGGATTTGTATGTAGATTTTTCAATTGAACTTTAAGAACTTAGAAAATTTAAGCCCTAGAATTTAATGGAAAAATGGTAATCGATTGATTTTTCTATAAGATATCTTCTATAAAAGTGGCGCAAAAAATAAATAGAATTCTCCAATACGATTCTAATAAAATTCTGCAATACAATTCTAATAGAATTCCAATAGAGTTATTCCATAATTCCAATACAAATCCAAAAGAGTTCCAATAGAAATTCGATGGAATTTCGATTGGTTTTTCTATTGAATTTTTTCCATACGTGTACTCACGGAAACATCAGGGAACTCCTGATCTAGCTCCTCATCGAGTTGTTCTAAGTCCACGTACGTGTCTCCACGGTGATGGTCTGCATGGTGATTGTCTGCATGGCGATGGTCTGCATGGCGATGGTCTGATTCTTTATAAGTCTTCTCTTCGCCGGAGCTGTGCATGTAGGATGGATTTTCCTCTTCATCAGAAATGACGTGAAATCTTGCAGACATGTGCAGCTTATACTTATAATTTCCATTGTCTTTTCCACTTTGACTGAGCCAATTCATTCCAGGACCGTCGAACGAGCTTCGCTCATACCTCTCCACAGATGGCTAAATATTATAATTTTTCAAATTATTTAAAGATCTCGTTGGACCATTTTTGTTTGGTACGTGTGTTGAGTGGGCGAACGATGTAACAGGGTTATAACCACCAGATGTGCAGTTGACAGTCCTCACGGTGCGGTTATTCCCAGTTCGAAACTTCTTCTGGGGAGGCTCGTTTCCTCGAGTTGAAGAAGAATGTCGTGATGGGAAGCCACCTTCCTCAATATTGGGTATACCATAGGACTCTGGTCCTAAGAAGTCCAGTAATTCTTTCTCCAGAGTATCCAAATCGTCGTCGAGGGGATCACCACCACCTGTGCCCTTAGCGTGACTTCTCAATCTTGCTGCCCTGATGAAGACACCTTTTTTCCAATCAGTCCAAGACTATCGAAAAATTTTCGAATGACATATGATTCATTTATTTCTTCATTTCAGTACCGAAGTTGTAAAGGGTAAAAAGTCGACTTTCATATCTCAATAAACATTGAATTATCTCGCTAATGAATGATTGCAGGAGGAAAAATCAGAATATATTTTTTGTGGGGAATTTTCCCATCTACAAAAAAGATATTCTGATGTTTTCCCCTAAAATCACTCATTATCGAGATAATTCAATGTTTAATGAGATATGAATAATCAACTTGTTACCCTTCACTATTTCGCTACCGATTTATAATTTGAGAAAAAGAAAATTCAATTATTTACCCTCATTGCTTGATCTCCATCTTTGTTCATTGTTCCATTGCTTGCAGCATTCACTGTGTTAGCAAACTCCTCTTTGTGACGCTTCTGTTGGATTGGAAATAAAATTTCCAGATTAATTTCGGCTTCAATAATGAATTGATTAATAATTAACAATATTTCTAAAAAAATTATCCAGACAATTTCTCATTCTCGAGATATTCGCAACAATATTTTTTAATCGTGAGAATGTCAGAAAAAGTCAGAAAACCTTTTTTCTTGTAATTTTAATTTCTTTGAAAAATTTTATTTGATATTTTCCCTTATTCCATCAATTTAAGAGATTTCGCAAAACATTCTAAATCAATATTTGAAAACTAACATGATTTTCAAATTAAGAAAATTATTTGGAATTATTAAATTAGTTTTTTTTCAACTATTCTTTCCAGGCAGATAATTTAGGCGGTTTTGGGAGCCCTCGTATTAGGTGAATAAAATATAGAAATAAAATGAAATACGCAAAAAAGGAGCTGCTCGGGCTTCAATGGTAATTTTCAGTTGGAAATTCGATTTTTCAACTCACCATTTTTGCCTTCGAATTAAAGCCAGAGTCTTTCAAGCGTCCAAGAGCGAAATCTTTATTCTTTTTCATATAATCGAGCATAGCCCGTTTACAATGGTACGTAATTCTGGACATGGTGAGAGATTTCAATTCGTGTATGAAGATTGAAAACTTTTTGTGTATGAAGATTGAAAACAAAAGAACAATGAATCAACAGAGTGAATTGAGTCGCGAGATTTCAATAATTAAAGAGAGAAATTCGGAGAATAAGAGGGAGCTAGAGCTTACGCATGACAAAAAAGGTATAAGAATGTTCTATAGAAAGTTCTATAGAACTTTCTTACAGGGCGATCCTAGAGGGAATCGTATAGATTTTTTTACGGTGAAATTTGGGAATTCAAACAAAGAAGCACATTCAACTTGAATTGTTTAACCGCTTTGCTACTGAAAACTACCATCTCAACAATTTCTAATTATTGAAGTTTAATCCTTCATTCATCAGCATCTACTCTTCTACTTCCGGGGTGTGGGTCATTCCTTCAAATTATGATCACAGTACCTGTCAGGTTGTCTGTTGAAACGGATGGAACTTGATGCTCTGATAACTCGAGTCGATGTAGGAGTTATCACCTTTGACCTCTTCATTCTCGAGGACAATACAACTGCTGGAACAGCTGTGCAGGGGCGTCCGGACGGAGTGAGTCAGCAAGAGAGGACCTGCTGAGAACCCCAGGGTTCTAGGAGACGGGGGACGAGATTCGATGTTGGGTAGTTAATTCCATTCTCGGGAGAATGTCCTGGACTGTTGTGAACTTTTGCTGGGGGGAGTGGACGTGCTGGGGCTCGTGGTGACCTGGGAGAGAGAATGGAGCCTCTGAACCACTGTCTGGGGAACTCTCGGAGAGGGTGTAGGCTTGGTAATCTTTGTAGGGGGTGGAGGGCGGGGGGGACTAGGGTTGGTCCCAGACACGGAGTCTGGACCTGGTGGTTTTGGGTGATGGGGGAAGGGAGGCGGGTGGGAGGCTGAGGGGTGATGTCCACTCGGCCATTGTGCGACGGGGCCGTCGTCTCATTGTGCGCTAAGGGGTCTGCGATGCAACTGAAAAGATTTTAAAATAATAATGAAATTCAAGTTGAACCGTTTCACTTCTCCGCTACTGAAATGACTCAATCCGGATCAATCGAAATATATGAATCGGTCCGAATGAATTTCGGAGATATTTCTGTTTTTTGAGAGATTTATGTCTTTTCATCAAAAAGCTTGTGCGCACGATCACTCGAGAAAAAAATCGGAATAGCGAGTTGAAATTTGATAAGATTAAATAATATGATATGATCAATAAGATATTACTTGGTGTGATGACAATTGTTAATAACAATTTCATGATTGTTGATAACAATCGTAATCACAAAAAGTTCCGGATCCTGGTAATAACGCACAAAGTAACGGTCGAAAGGCTTCTGCCAAAAAGGCTCGAATCCCTGCTTGTTTTCATGCGTGAGAGAGAGAGAGGGAGTATTTCAGTCCATTATAAATCGAGTACTCAAGTAATTGTCGCTTAGCGAGTGAAGAATTCTGCAATTAACTCATCGCGAACTTGTGCTCCAACTCGATAGGGAATGTCTGGAGGCAACTCGACTTCCCCACGATTATGATCCTCTTCCGCTCCATCCTCATCATCTATTTGCGCATCAGCGAAATAAGCTACAGGCATGTTCCACTGGATAGCCATATTGTGTAGCACCGCGCAAGCGTTACAAATAAGAGCTAAAAATGATGGAATGTTATGATCATTTTGGTGCAAGGTCAGTGTTGGTCAAATATCACGTATCTCCAGATCTAAAAGAGACAGTGGAATCGCTACAAAACACCTGAAAACTCTGGGGTGTAGTGTAATGTTCGGTCTTTGTGCAGACATCTCCAAAGACCTTTCAAAGCTGCGAAGCATCGCTCCACAGTCGACCTTGTTCTAGCGTGACACATTGTATATCTGTATTCTGGACTTCCTATAGGTTGATTCAATCGTGGAGTGAGTAAATACGGCAACAACGGATAACCGGAATCACCTTAAAGAACAAAAGAAAAATGAAGAGAATGAAGCAGATTCCAATCGCAATTGAGTGCTACCCAGCAACCAACAGTCTCGTCGTCCAGCATCATACTGTCCCCGCAGATGGACAGATAATCTAGATGAAGCAAAAACTCGAGAGTCATGGGCTCTTCCTCCGTGGCTAGCATTGAGGGAGAGAATGCGAAGTTGATGATCACAAAACTAAAAAATGTCGATTGTGTAGTTGAATTGTTATTCATCAACTAGTGATAATTACAACTTGAACGTTCAGTGAATGATTATGCTTCCTGTTAACGAAATGAGCCTCTTTAACTCCCGCTGGCTTCACAATTGACACATGCGTTCCATCAATCAAACCTATTACTCCAGGGAACCCCCATTTACCCCAAAATCTGCCCCAAATGAAATTTAATAGAAACAAAGATTCGAATCGGCTGTGGCCTTTATACAGCAGCAAGACTTGACATGTACAAGTCTCGGAAACGACTGATCTATTATATATTATCAAGAATATAGCCCATTTGAATTTCGCCACCCAAACATGTCCACATCAACTCTTACTGCAGTACCAACGCCATTGGATTCCTGAAGGACTTTCAGTCCTATATAAGATGATAGAATGAATGAAAAGGCCATGTTTCTCATCATTTATCGCCCCTAGAACGCACAGAAGTTTAATTCTACATCAATTGAGTTTTTTCGATTATATATCGTAAACTATTGCAGTTAGCGCCTGAAATTCAGCGTCAGTGAATTTCGGAGGAAACTTCTGTTCTATATAGACTGAGAGAATAGCTTAAAAGGCCATTCTTCTGGTTATTTACAGCCCTCAGGGCGAATAGAAGATTCATTCTACATCAATTGCATTCATTGATGATATCTCATGAACTATTCCAGTTAATGGTGCAAAAGGCTATTTTTTTCTGGTTATTTACAGCCCCGATATTACTTTCATTTTTTGATGATACCTCGTAACTGTAGCAGTCGAATTTTTTAGAAATTCCACGAATTCCCAGGAATTTCCAGAAATTCCTTGAGTTTGAGTTTTTTTCTCTCTTTGTTATTGTTCCATTCGAGTTTGAGTTGATTCATATTTTGATATGTTTGAGTTGTTTGTTATCAAATTATTCATCACCAACCCTGCTTGGATCCGTTCGATTTCTTGATGCGTCTTCGGAAAATGAATCCATTGAGGCATGATTTGATTCAAAGCCTTAACGACTCTATGCAGACAGCGACTGACAGAAGTCTGACTCATGCATACTAAGAATCCTTCAACTTTCCGCTGATAAGATCCTCCAGAAAAAAAGTCCAAAGCAGCAAGGACTTGGAAGTGAATGGGAATCGCATCACGTCTGGTAGCTTGTGGTAAAACCACAGTCAACTCCTCAATAAGGAACAATGCACCGTCTTTTGTGAATCTAACAATTCCAAATGTTGAAATTAACGTTTCTGGCGAGCATGAGTTTGCAGCACGAGCCGAATACGAGGGCGGCAATCATATGAGTTTTGTGCGCGTCCGAGAATGAGTTCGGAGGTCTCGGGTTATGAGTTCACATCCGTTAGGACATAAGAGAGAGTGGGGCAAAATGGAACGTTTGTGATCTACTTTAATTCTCGATATGTTTGTTTATGAATATGAACGTTGGGATTCTGAGTCTGTGAAAAACCTGGGTACCAAAACGTTCGATATTGCCCCACCTTTCTCTACTGTGATATTATTAAGGGGAGACCGCAGTGAAATTTGAAAGTCCTAGGGGGTTGTTTCCATCATGTTGATGACTTTAGTACTCATCTTTTATACTTGAAAAATGAGAAAAATATAGTTGTAATGTTTCAAACGCCGGTATGTAGCTGTACAGAATGAATGATCAAAGAAATCTAAAGAAAATTGTGGTTTATTGGTATTTTATGCCCTTCAAATGTCACTTTTGAAAAATCACCCGGGTCATAGAAGTTTAAGCAGCATTCAAACTGCTTGATGCCTACTTCCCTGGATTCCTGAATCAGAAGTCCTTTAGAGTGAAATGCTCGAAGTAATGTGCTATGCTGTGAGGTGAGTCATATAGGTAACATTAGGGAAGCCTGAGAGTTCAAAAGGACATTTGCATAAGAGGGTGATGAGGGTCAAACCGAATCGTATGAATGAGCTCGAATGGAAAATTCCGGCTTTACATTCTTCGCTCGATTTCCAATGATTTCGTAATTGACCAACCTCTCCGGGTCGAATGTCCATTATTTTGATCTGCGTGAGTTAAATGAAGAATTTAATCTGATAATTTCCCACCTGAAGAGTCTGATGAATTCTCCTTCTGGGATATCGAAAGGATTTACAATATCACGTATTTTCCTGCGATACAAACGTAACTGATGATTTCTTTTCCTTCTTCTTCTGACTTGAATATGACCATCCCCCAAAAATAATGCAATGAGTTCATCCATCCGACTGTGATACACAATACATAATTAAAATAGATTCTACACGTGGTTAAATTAAATATTTTCAATAAAAAACAAACTTACCTCTTAATTTCAATCCAATTCAACGATTAATTAGCACTTTGGAGCACAAAACACATAACCAATTCAGTTAGTCCCAGGCCATCAAAATCTCGCGGAGATTACAATAAATCACTCGAAAAATCCCAAATACTAATTTTATTATTCTCAAGTGAATCTCAACTACTGCTTATTACCAATTTTATATCTCGTTAATAATTAACCTCCTCTGCTCTTGCATTATAAAATTGACGGCTAACGCCATCTCGCCTTCACCATCTCAAAACAACGCTCCGCTCCGAAAACACTTTCCCCTTCCGCCGTCATACCCCCTCACGCTCCCCACCGCCGTCACGCGATTATCTGAATCGCCCTCCTCATCACTCAGGCGGACATTTTGTTTTCTCGTCAGTCCCTTTCAACTTGTCGCTTTGTCTGTAAGATAGAGAAAAGGGTTAAGGCAACTTCAAAGGCATGGCGCGAACGCCGTTTGCCCAATGATTACTCCAACTCAATAAACAATCGAATTACCCTTTTCTTGCCTTTCCCAAATGAAAAGGAAGGTAGATATGAGTTCCCCAAACGATTTGGAATAAGTTGATATAATTTTTTTTTTTCAAATAAATGTTTGCTAAATAGACGCATAATCAAAGTTAATTAATTAAAAATCAACAACTCTTTCTCAAACGATAAAAGTGCTTTCCAAAATATCCCCAATCAATTCCCCAACGATTGCAATTAGTGATTATTAATAATAATTTTTTTTTCTGCCAAGTATATGACGGTTTGAAAAATGTAGATGAAAACCTTATTTGCTGTTTTTAATGTTTTTTCCCTCTGAGACGAACTTACCCAAATATCTCGATTTTTTGAAATATGTTTGGAATCTCTTCTCACCACAGCAAATAATTTCAAATATCTTCGGAAATTCACAGTGAGAGTACTTTCAATAAACATCATTTTTTCACATTTCTTGATAGCAATATGTGACTGGATTGACAAAGAATCCGTCACATACTTTTGAAGTAAGCCCCCGATGATTAACCAGAAACTATATCGTGCCTATTTCTGCTAAGATTATCGAAAATGTTCTCCTTTCAATGGAGAACAATTCACTGATGTAATGAG